GCGTGTGAAGAATAGGGGTTAGCTCTTCCTTAAATGCTTTGTAGAATTCTCCTGTGAAACCATCTGGTCCAGGGCTTTTGTGCTTCGGGAGATTTTTGATTACTCCTTCAATTTCATTTGCTGTTATTGGTCTATTCAGGCTGCTTCTTCTTCATTGAGTTTTGGAAGATTATATTTTTCTAGAAATTTGTCCATTTCACCTAAGTTTTCAAATTTCTTGGCATACAGTTCTTCATAGTAATTTCTTACAATCCTTTGCATTTCTGTGGTATCAGTTGTAATCTCTCCTGTTTCATTTCTGATTGTGTTTGTGTCCATTCCCTTCTTTTCTTGATGAGCCTACTTAAAGGCTTGTCAATTTTATTTATCATTTAGAAAAACTAGCTCCTGGGTGCACTGATCCTTAGAATTGTGCTTTTAGTCTCTATTTCATTTAATTCTGTTCTGATATTGGTTATTTCCTCACTTCTACTTGCTCTGGGCTGTCTTTGTTGTTGTTCATCAAGTTCTTGTAGGCGTAGGGTTAGGTTGTTTGTTTGAAATGTTTCTATCTTCTTTCAGTAGGCCTGTATAGCTTTGAACTTCTCTCTCAGGACTGCTTTCGCTGTGTCCCATAACTTTTGGGTTCTCGTAAGTTCATTTATGTTTGTTTCCAGAGACTTTTAAATTTCTTCCCTAATTTCATTCTCGACCCATTTGTTGTTGAATTGAATACTATTCAATCTTCATGATTTTGAATGTTTTGGGTCTTTTCTCTTGGGGTTGGTTCCCAGTTTTAGTCCCTTGTGATTGGAGAAAATGCTTGGGATGATTTCAGTTTTCTTGAATTTGTTGAGGCTTGTTTTGTATCCTATCATGTGGTCTATATTTGAAAATGTTCCATGTGCATTTGAAAAGAATGTGTATTTATCTTCTTTGGGATGAAGGGCTGTATATATACCAGTTAAGTCTATTTCATCTAGGATATTGTTCAATGCCGCAGTATCTTTGTTGATATTTTGTTTTGAAGATCTGTCCGTTTTTGACAGTGGGGTGTTAACATCCCCAGGTATAATTGTGTTGCTGTCAATATCTTCGTTGAAGTCCTCTAAGATTTTCTTGATATATTTTGCTGCTATGTTGGGTGCATCCATATTTACAATGTTTATATCTACTTGGTGGGTTCTTCCCTTGAGTATTACGAAGTGACCTTCTGGGTCTCTTTTTATGGCCCTTATTTTGAAGACTGTTTTGTCTGATGTGAGTATTGCTACCTTGGCTTTTTTTTTTTTTTTCTGGCCGTTTCCTTGCAAAATTTCTTTCCAGCCCTTCACTTTTAGTCTGTGTAGGTCTTTTTTCCTGAGATGGGTCTCTTGTAGGCAGCATATGTGTGGGTCATGCTTTTTTTATCCATTCAGCTATTCTGTGTCTTTTGATTGGAGCATTTAATCCATTTACGTTTAAAACTATTATTGATAGGTACTTGTTCATTGTCATTTTTATACCTGTGTTTCTCTTTGTCTTTTTCTTTTCCTTCCTTTCCTTTAGTATTTCTTGCAGAGCTGGTTTGGTGGAGGTGTATTCTTTTAGACTTTTTTTGCTTTGGAAACTCTTTATTTGGTCTTCTATCTTGATTGAGAGCTGTGCTGGGTAAAGTAACCTTGGTTGCAGGCCTCTGGTTCTCATTACTTGGAATATTTTTTGCCATTCTCTTCTTGCTTTGAGTATTTCCATTGAGAAGTCAGGAGCTAACCTTATTGGGGCTCCCTTCTATGTTACTTCCTTTTTCTCCCTTTCTGCCTTTAAGATTCTCTTTCTGTCTTGGAATTTTGCCATTTTAATGATGATGTGTCTTGAAGTGGGCCTCCATGGGTTCCTCTTGATTGGGACTCTCTGTGATTCCTGGATTTGTGTCACTTTTTCTCTCATCAAATTAGGGAAGTTTTCCATCATTACTTTTTCAAATAGATTTTCTATCCCTTGCTCTTCTTCTCCTTCTGGTATCCCTGTTATTCGGATATTATTATGTTTCATATTGTCTTGCATTTCTCTTAATCCCTCTTCATTCTTTCTGAGCCTCTTTTCCTTTCCTCACTCTTTCTGGGTGTTTTTTTCTACTTTTTCCTCCAACTCACTGATCTGATCTTCTGCTTCATCAATCCTGCTTTTGATTCTTTCCACTGTGTTCTTCAGTTCCAAAATTGTATTCTTCATTTTCTCTTGGCCCTTGCTGATAGTTTCTATTTCCTTTTTCATGTGGAGATAGTTTGCAGTGAGTTCATTGTAATTCCCCTGTAGTTTCTGGTAGCTTGTTGTGAGCTCTTTGAAATTCCTTATAACCAGTGCTTTGAATTCAATATCTGATAGCTGACTTGCCTCTATTTCATCTAGCACTCTTTCTGAGGCTTCCTCCTTTCCTTTCATTGGGGGATTGTTTCTTTGTCTTTCCATTGTTTGTGAGACTCTTCTTGTTAGCTTCAGCTTTTTAAACTGGTTTGTTCTGCCTTCCTGGATTTATGGTCTGAATTTCTGTGGTATAATACCTGTGAGATTCAGTGGTGTAGTCTTCTTGATCTCCCCAGCTCACTGGTCTTAGGCTGTCCTTTATGCTGGCTCTGAGTTTGTCTTTGGGTTTTTGTTTTGGGGGTCTTTTCTTTTTGTGGGCCCTTCTCACCAGCTGGTGAACTGATGGTCCCTCTCTCCACCACCCTTTTTAATTTGTTGTGCTGGTGAGGGCGGATTGTGTTATAGCTAGTTCTTCTGCATGTACAGGGTTGTGAGGATTCTCTTTTGCTCTTGTTCAGTTGTTTGCCCTGGGTAGTTTCTCCACTCTTCAGTTGTATTTCCAGATAGGTCTTGGGTTGAGGTTTGTGTGGTTTTCACCTTCTGTTGTTATATGTTGGTGGTTCCTTTGTTGTTGGATTTCCTCTTCCTGGAGTACTTTTCATCTTGGCCTTCTATCTTGATTAACACTTTATTAATACTTTCCCATATTAACACTTTATTCTTGGTGTTCATCTCTTATATGTTGCAAATAATTTCTCTCATTCTTTCACAGTCTTTTACATTTCAATTATGACTGTCATATTAAATATTTTAATTTTTAGGTATTCATATCTTTTAGTCTTTATGGCTTCTGGGTTTTGTCTTGCAGATTAGGACATAATAGATATTTTATATATTTTTTTTATATTTATGTCTCTGTAATTCTTTGGACTATTTTTTATGTATTTTGTGAAATAACTGATTTCTTTTCTAAATGAACAGTATAAGGAGAGGAGTTCCTGTTTCCTTGTACTTGTAAAGGTTTTTTTCACACTTGAAGAAGAGCAGCAGTCAAAGCTTTGGCCAGGTATCTCAGTTGGTTAGAGTGTTGTCCTGATATGCCAAGGTTGTAGGTTTGATCCCCAGCTAGGGCCCATATTACGAACCAACCAATAGCCCTCACTGGTGTGACTCAGTGGATTGAGTGCTGGCCTGCGAACCAAAGGGTTTCTGGTTTGATTCCCAGTCAGGCACATGCCTGGGTTGTGGGTCAGTTCAGGTCTTTGATAGGGGATGTGTGACAGGCAAACGCAGATTGCTGTTTCTGTCCTCTTCTTGTTCCCACCCTTCCCCTCTGTCTAAAAATAAATTAAAAATATTTTTAAAAAAGAACCAGCCAACGAATGTGTACATAGGTAGAACAGAACCGGAGATTGATGTTTCCCATTCTTTGTCTTTCAAATAAAAACTAAAAAAATAAAGAGTAGTCAGTAGTTCTGAGATAACTTGTATTTGGGGTTCTCCCTGTTCCTTCCCATACAGTCATATCTTGGGGAAAATAAAGCTTGGGTGTTTTCTTGGGGTAGGTTCTCCTGGCTGAGTGACATAGATGGGAATGACTAAAGGGGAGACAGGTTATGGTCTGTTATCAAATGTTGAGACTAGTGATAAAGTGTAAGGCCCACTTTCTTTTTTGTAACTAGTTTATTTTTATAAAAGAGAGCTATTCAATTTTTAAAACTTAACATAATATAGGAAAGTTCAAAGAAGAAAGGGGAAAGACTGCCCCAGATTCCATACAGTGGTGACCATCTTTTAGGATCTGTGTCTGTAGCACACATGTGAGCATACATAGACCTTTACAAGTTAAGATCCTATGAACCATGCTGTATGTCGCTTGAGTTGGCAACCCTAGTGGAAGCCATTCCAGGCCAGCAGGTGCAGATCTACCCATGCTTATAGCCCCAGGGCAAGAGCAAGAACTTCAGAGCCAGGACCCTTATGTTTGAGTCCAGCCCTGTCACCATTCAGAAGTGCAGACAGGATAGGTAGTTCTGTGTCTCAGTTTCCTCATCCATAAGCTTGGATGCTATCAGTGCCAGCCTATGAGGTCTTGGGACGAACTGACTGAACACACAGTGTGGTGACTCCACCGCCTGTAGCATCAATCTGGGTGGCTGCATGACATTCTGGGGTGTGATACAACCTGAGGTACGTCCTGTTGCTGTAGACCAGGAACTCCCCAACCCACTGAGCTGTCTGTTAGAAACTGGGGCAAGTGTCTCAAAGCATTGCTCACCTTACTGCCTGAGCTCTGCCTTCCCCATCCGTATCCCGTGGGGCGTCTGTGGGAAAATTGTCTTCCATAAAACTGGTCCCTGGTGCCAAAATATTTGGGGACTGCTGCTTTAAAAAGACCTTGGTGGATATCTTTGTGCCACCACCTTGAGGTTTGAAGTGATGTTTGCTCAACCCTTTCAATATGGCCAGCCTAGTGGTTGCTGAGGCAACCTTCTACTTTTTGTGCTGAGGCAGACTGTGGTTGCCTTGCTGAAGACAAATTCCAGGGTTTGGAATCAGGGTCCACACACTGCTAGCAGTGAGAAGCCAGAGGGCAGGCTGGCCTCTGAGGAACCTTTTGAACTTAGTGCTTCCTACCCAACCTCCACGTTCTGTGACTGGTTCCCAGGCTTCACTGGGAGAAAGTGTACATGTGGTGGCATGTTGCCTAGGGCTGACCTCTCCTTCTCTTACAGGTTCAGCAGTACCGGGTTGCCATGACTGCAAAGGATTGCTCCATCATGATCTCACTCTCCCCTTGTCTTCAGGATGAAAGGTGAGGTGTCCATGGCCTGCATCACATGTCTTTGGTCTAACAGGATTTTAGATAAAATCTTTTTGCATTGACAAGAGTAGGTTTCCCCATATTTACAGAGCCCCAGGTGGAATCACATTTTTTCAGAAGCTGATCGATCTCTAAGGCCTGCTGGGTATCCTGCTGTATACTAATTCTTGTGGTCTAGAAAGTTGTACAACCTGTCAAAAAGACATTCAGTCAAAAAGACATTTATGGAGAATAATTTTAAAAGATGGTTCTATTAAATTTAAGATTACCATTATTTTCTAAGAAAATACCCTAAGGACTTAGAAGCAGTTTGGCTAGTGTGGTGCAAATTCCATTTTTTTTCTTTTTTTAAAAAAGATTTTACTTATTTTTAGAGAGGGGAAGGGAGGGAGGAAGAAGAGACAAACATCAATGTGTAGTTGCCTCTCACATGCCTCCTACAGGGGATCTGGCTTACAACCCAGGCATGTGTGCTGACTAGGAATTGAACCAGCTACCCTTTGATTCATAGGCCAGCACTCAGTCCACTGAGCCACACCAGCCAGGGTACAAATTCTTTTCTTTCAAAGAAAGCCCCAAGTTCCTGTCAAGGATCTGAGTCCTGAGAAGCTGTAGGTTCCCATAGACCTGTTCCCCTGCCTCTACCAGGCCCTGAAATGTCCACCTTCAGAGTCATTTTGAAGCCTTTAAAACAACATGTGCATTGTTCTGCTGCCTGTTTGCCGTGTCTCTCCCTAGACACCATATTGTCAACCATCTTTTTTTAGGAATTCAGGATGAACCTGATAACATTCTCTTAGTAAATAGATGGCATCTTTAGCATTTATCTTCAGGGTGCAAAACCCCACACACAGTATTTATGGAATGTTCTGCATTCTTCTGACAAATGTTCTTGGGTCAGGGTGAACTTGTTACTGGCTTCTAATCATTCATTTTTTTGCTTTTGAACTAAGCATTTCCAGGAGTCCTGCTGCCTGGAAGGCATATAGAATTGTCCATTTTCTGATAGGAAACATGGAGGGACATTTATAGGGTACAAATGAAATAAAGAAAAAATATTCTACTTATTTGAAAACTCCTGTTATTCCCCTCCCCAAAATGCCCCCAGTGCTTGGTTATGATGAATCCATTTGCTGCATTAAGCTAGTGATGTTGGATGAGAGAAAATCACACAGATGTTATGATCTACCACCCTACCTGAAGCAAGGATGCAGCTGGGATGCAAAGACTGTACATAAATGTGAGGGGCTGAGGGCCCAGGGCCCAGGGCCCCAATACCCTAAAAAAACCCTTTAAAAACTGACACATAGGGATAGGAGCCAGGAAATGAATCCAGGAAGTTCTGAAACACATGGGTACCAGTCTTAGCCCCTGGGTGGCACAGAATTTAGGTGTCAGGGGTCACACACTGGGCACATGAGGAGCTTCTGGTTGACATTTTTGTAGGGGTGGCCCTCTGGCCATGCTCCCACCAGCTGTTGTGTGATGGATTCACATCATCTTGTTGGGTGCTGGCTGGTTCTAAAGTGAGAAATTGAGGTGTCCTTTAACATGTGTAGCCCTGTGAGGGCTGGAGACATGGACTCTCTGAAGCCCAGCTGAGCTGAGCTTGGGTGTTAGGCCCTGACAGGAAACTTTGAAGCAAGACCTTAATATGCAAGTGTGTTTGTTCTCTGCTGTTCAGAAGGAACTGGCTAGAAACCCAGCTGCTGAGCCCTGGTTTGTTTTTCTTGGCTGTATTTCAGAGCAGGAATCAAGTTAGAGTCTCGGCCTCGATTAGAATCAACATGTCTGTTAGCCTTCCTTCTCCCAGGCAGAAGCTTTTGAAATTGTTTTGTTTGATGTTTTTTTCTTGGTGATTTCTGAAAAGTAGTTAAAGCATGGGGAAAAAAGGACTCCTGACTGCTTCCCTTCAGCCACACTGAGCTCATCCAGTGCATGTGACCAGTCACCTGGCCCCAGACTGTGCACTGAGAATGCTGACAGTATTAGCACAAAATTCAGAATTAGTCTCAGTGTTTTTAAGTAAAAGTAATTGTTTATATATTGTTACAAGCATATAATTCTTCTGATATTTAGAAAAACCACACAAACAAGCCCCAAGAAACAAAATACAAAACACTGCAGATGCCATTTGAGAATTAAACATGAAACCAGACATGTGGGAGGTGTGTATGAAATCTGTTCTCGACATTTTATCCATTTGGCTGTTAAATAGCCAGATCAACTTTCTACTTTTCCTTAGCTTTTGTAATACTTGACCTATAATGCAGTATCTTTTTCAGCATTTACTTTTACCACTGGGATATGAGAAATGTCATAAGTATCTGAAGTAATTGGTTTGTCATCTTTCTTCACTTTAACCCTCTCTCACCTGGTGTGGTGGCAGGTTTCAGAGCAGGCACCTATTTGGCAGAAGCTTTAAACACAGGTGCACAAGGGAGAGAGATGGAGATTAGATGCACACAGATGTACAGAATGGGCGCTACTTGTGAGCCAGGATGAAAGGATTTTGGAAGGCTGAATCTTTTTATTTTACTTTCAGGTCTGATCAAAGGCCCATCGTCCCTTCATCAAGATCCAGGTTTGCCTTCTCCGTGTCTGTACTGGACCTTGACCTTAAACCCTATGAGAGCATCCCTCATCAGTATATACTGGATGGCAAGATAGTCAACTACTATTCAAAGACTGTACATGCCAAAGACACCACCATGATGTCGCCTAGGTTTAAGGAAAGTGAAGATTGTACATTAGTTCTCCATAAAGTCTAACTTTTTTCCTGTTGTCATTGAAACTTGAACATAAAATGTGAAGGTTGAACAATAGAGCTCTTTTCTCTTATGTTGGGTGACTTTGGCTGTAAATGGTTTTGTTTTCTGTTGTTCAGGTGGGACTGTTTCTGCGAGACACAGAATAGAAGAAACATCTTCCTGGACAAGGAATGTCAAATGTGAGACCTGTGGCATTCTCTGTCCCAGAGACCCCTCTGGACAGTTTTTCTTTTCCACCAAAGGGTCATGTCTAATCTCTAATGAAAAAAGCCTTATTTTAAGACCCGAGGTTTGGATCTTCTACAAGACTCCTAATGTAGAAAACTTGAATTGTGACATATATCTTATAATTTGGACTTTTAAGAAACTTTTAAGAAAACAGGGATACTACTGGAAATTTCCCAGCTGAGTTTCTTGGGCACTTTTTAATGCAAGCCACACATTATCACAAGTTTAGTGGTTCCCTGCTGCAGAGCAATGTGTTCTTGGTGCAGATGTCAGTTCTAAGCAGTGTGGACTCAGGGTTCCTGTGGAGGGGCCACCTCCACTGTTCTGTTCAGGATCAGCAAGGACCATGGGACTCAGATCAGGGGCAAACACCACTCATGCAAGTACTGACTTTCATGCTGTTCTTTCCTGAATGACTTTAACTTTAGGGGAGACAAGGCATTCTTTCTCACCTGAAGTTGCTGCTGTGGAAGCTGGAAGCAGAGCTGCATCACTGAGCTGCTAAACCTGGGGCGGCGCTGTTCCTCCCAGCTCTGTGTTCAGGGCATTTTGTGGGGTTTGGGGAATCTCAACCAATTCTGCCAGAGCCAGTCTTGAGTTCTCTTCCTCCCTGTACCTGTTTTTTCCTAGGGTTTCACAGAGACATGTACTGTTTGCAGCCTCGAGTGATGTGCTGGACCACTTTCCGGTCAGGGCTACGCAAGGCCCTGCTTATGCAAGATAGGTGACTCCTGGCTGGCACCAAGAGGGTTTGTGATAGGTTCACCAAAAGTGTGCCTCGCTGCTATGAAAATTGTTGGGAATCTTGGGCTTCAGTTTTTTATTCTATGGTAGGTTGTACAGATTTATTATTTATATCATCATTTTGAGGGATTAATGAAGGCTTATTGTAATATAATATTAGCGAAACCATGGAATTATATGAAAATAAGAATATTTTGCTGATTGTAAATTTTTGTGGGGGACATTTTCTGATCACTTGAGAATTACACTTGTTTGAATTAAGCCTGCTTTTCTAGAATTTATTCTTTAATTCTTTCCTAACATTTATTTCTTACTTCTATACTCAGAGGGTTAAAAAGATACTCAAATGACATATGTCTCTCATCCATGTCAGTGTGTTGGGGTCCAGAGGCTTTGGAAACTCCATCTATGGGGACATGAGTGGAGCTGTTTTTGCATGCAAGTCATAGAGTACGGGGAGGGAAGCAGTGGTCGTGTGGTTTTGGCTGGAGGTTTTTCCTTGTTGCTGGCATGGGACGGGGAGGGGGGCGGGACATGATAATGACACACAGTCTTGCCCGGCATCACCATGTGCATAGAACCCTGGGTCCCTGTGCATGGAATTCAGGAACCCCAGCCCCTTGAGGAGGTGAACTGGGCAGCCTCCTGGTTGCCTGTCCTGGTTGGCGTGGGCAGTCCGAAACTCAGGGGAAGAGGATACAGATGGACAGCCTCTGCTAGGAGGTCTTGGTGCAATGCTTTGCTCTATTCACTCCACCATAGCCTCTTCTTACCTGTGGTGTTCACTTGATTGAAACAGTGTTTTCAATAGTTCTAACATTTTAAATGGGTCACTGGGGTCAGTACAGCACTTAGACTCTTAGGGACTTAAATGAAAACCCAGTTTTTTCTGTGTGGAGGAATGGGTACTGAGATCTCCTGTGAAGGGACAATGCAAGCTTTGCTATCTTACTGCATTTTTTAAGCTCTTGCTCCACTTTTTTATGGATAACCAAGAAGAGAGACTGTTAGAGGAGTTGCTGAGAGGCACTGTAAATGCCTCCAAGTGCTGCTTTCCACAGCAGGGAGGTGAGAAGGGTGGTGTACGTCCCCCAGGGTATCTTGGGAATGTCTAAGCAATGACGCTTCAAGAGCCCCAGGTGGTGGGTGCCTGGCTCTGCCCTCAGACTGGGTGTTGGAAGGGTGCACAGCCACTCCCCACAGATCAGTGTTTAGCAGTTTCTATTTAAGTAGCTGTATTTATTTTTTCATGTCCTGACAGTTTATATATGTGTCATAACTGCACAGACACGTTCTGAGGGTATGGTTTCTAGGTGGAAAACAGCAAATGATTATATTCAATAAAAACACATGCTTCGTGGTGTAGCATCTGACTCCTAGGTGTTACTATTTGGGAATTAGTGGTTTTCCTCTGTGCAAAGCGATCTTATTAGGCTTTCTATAGCCACTTCAATGCCTAGCATGCCCAGCAAGGTTCGGAAGCTGAGAGGAGCAGTTTCTATTACTCCCTTCTTGTCCAACTCCAGGGCTGTAAAGAAAAAAACTGGGTAAGAAACTTCATCTAGACCCTTCCCTCCTCCCCAGTTGGCCAACCCATGTCATGGCTGTGAATGTAGCACTCACTGCATGCTAGAAGCAGAGACAGAAGCCCTACCTCTTGTGTACTCAGCCCAGGAGAGCCTTGGGGGAGCAGTCACCCTGCATGTGCTTTTTGATTGATCACTGATAAAAGCATTTCAAAAACTGATATAAAAACACAATAATGAGATTTTCAGTTTCTGATTGCCATGTAAAACCAGATGAAATAAGTAGATGTCTATGTTGAGCACATTAACAAGTTACCAGAACACTCTCACGGGACCCTTCCATACCTTGCTGCGGCACTTCAGTGAGAAGATCCAACTTCGGCAAAACCTTCCCTTCTTCATCTATTTGTATCCTCCAAACGATGACTAATTCAAACCTGAAAGAGGTAAGATCCATCACTAGGTGCCTGTAAAACCTAATTAAAACAATGAACTCTACCCCTTGCCTGGTGGCTCAGTTGGTTGCAGCATAGGCCCAATGCACCAAGGTCGTGGGTTGGATCCCTGGTCAGAGCACATATAAGAAGCAACCAATAGGATACTGGTTGGGGCTAAGGGCTGTATGGGTGAGCAGCCACTGTGGCTGCTCTGGCATAGGGCTTGTGGCTGGCCCCTCCTGTTTAGGCCTGTCTAGTTGGAGCAGACCCTGAAAACCAGCTTGGCAAGATGGGGTGGGCACTGTGGGGCTCTGAGAGGAGAGTGCTTACAGGGCTAATGAGTGATGTAGAAGCTGGTGGTGCCACTGTCTTCCCAGAACCGGGGGCTGTGATTTTGCTCAAGAAGTTTCCAATATGTGCTCCATGTGTGAGGACAAGAGTTCTTAAAGCCATGTGGATCAATAGAAGCTGATTAACATCCTTTTTTCCCCTTCCCCTTCCCCTTCCTGACTTTAAGCCCACATCTTTGAGTTCAGTGTGACAGACACCTTTCTGTGTTCTGGCCCCATTCAGGTACCTCCAAGAAGGTGGCCTAGGTAAACACAGCTCACCTCCTGTACAACCATATCAAAATTACAATTAAACTATAGGACAACCATCACTCAGAACCAGCAGAAATTGAGTAAATGGAGGTCTTGCAACCACGAATTCAAGAAACCACATCCATCCATCCAATCTGATAGGAGGACTGCAGATACAGAGACATGGAACAGGCTGCTCCCACACCCACCTGTAACAGATAAAAACCAGGAGGGATATCTCTGGAGCTATGGGTCCTAAGCCCATGTTAGGCCCCCTGGCCCAGGGTTCCAGTGCTGGGAAGATAAGTCCCTATGGCTTCTGGCTGTACAAATCAGTAGAGATTGAGTCAGCGGAAGAAACTGCTGGGTTCTCAGCCAGTCCTTCCTAAAGGGCCTGCACATGGACTTACTGAGATTCACTCCCACTAAACTGAGCACTGGGGAAGCAGCTTGAAAGGTACCAGAGGCATATGGGGAGAAACTGAAGTATCTGGAATCATGGTGAGAGCTGGGGGACAGCTTTCTCCAAGAAAAAACTGCTGTCAGAGGCCATGGTTCCTCTTCTGAGTCTTTCTCTCACAGAACCACAGAGTGTGGTGAGCACCATATATGAGACTCCATCAACTTGGCTAACACTGTTTGTCCCACCCTGGTGATGCTCTGATACTCCGTCCCACCAAACTCAAAATGGTTAACAATACCTTTTCCATAAAAATGTCTTGCACATGCTTCTGATCTTCATAAATCCTCAAGTAAGCAGCAGCTGGCCTTGGTTCATAGCTAGCCCTCACTAGGATACAAGAAGCATCCAGCTGTGGATTGCTTTATAGCTTATGCCAAGTGGCCCCACAAAACACAAGTGTGCACCAGGGCCCTGCTGAAGTAAGCCCTGCTCTGTGGACTGGGCTGCTGCACAGCTGATCCTCCACGGAGGGCAGAGGTTGGTGGTCACTGGTCACAGCCAGCCCTTGCAGCTGACTGGCCTGGGTAAGTCCCTTTCATTGACCTGCCAACAGCAACCAAGGCTCAACTACAAGAGGACTACCTGCTTTTCAATTGCTGCTTGTGAGATTCTGTCTTTAACCTTCAAGCAGGTAGTTAACCTTTAACCTTTAACCTTCAGCCCATATGCAGTACACACCTCCAGTACCCAGTTTGGGCAATAGGGGAGGCTGTGCTGCTAGAGCCCACAGGACACCTACTACATTAGGCCGTGCTACCACACCAGAGAGACTTAGCAGCTCTACCTAATACATAGAAACAAAGAGAAAGAGGCTGTGAAAATGAGGAGACAAAGAAACATGGCCCAAATGAACAACAAAGCTCCAGAAAAATAAACAAAATGGAGACGAGCAATCTACTAGATGCAGAGTTAAAAACACTGGTTATAAGGATACTCAAGGAAATTAGTAAGTACCTCCACAGCAAAAAAAGGTCTAGTCAGAAATGAAGCGTACACTAATTGAAATAATTTACAGGGAGTCAACAGTAGAGCTGATGCAAAAATTAACTAGCCAGAACAGCAAGAAGGAAAAGAATGGGGAAAAAAAATCAAAGATAGTATAAGGAATCTCTGGGAAAACATCAAGTGTACCAATATTTGCATTGTGGAGGTGCCTGAAGAAGACAAAGAGTTTAAAATTATAAATCTATTTGAAAAAATGACAGGAAACTTCCCTACCTTGGTGAAGGAAACAGACATGAAAGTTCAGGAAGCACAGAGGGTCTCAATCAAGATGACACAAATAGGCCAACACCGAGACACATCATAATCAAAATGCCAAAGGTTAAAGACAGAATCTCAAAAGCAGCAATAGAAAAGCAGGTAGTACTCTACAAGGGAGTTCCCATAAGACTGTCAACTGATTTCTCAAAAGAAACTTTCAGGCTAGAAGGGATTGGCAAAGAATAGTCAAAGTGATGAAAAGGAAGGACCCACACCCAAGATTACTCTACCCGGCAAAGCTATCATTTAGAATCCAAGGGCAGATAGAGAGCTTCCCAGACAAGAAAAAGCTAAAGGAGTTCATAATCACCAAAGCAGTAATATATGAAATGTTAAAGGATCTTGAAGAAGAAGATTAAAACTATGAACAATATAATAACAATAAATTCATATCTGTCAACAACTGAATCTAAAAGCCAAACAAGCAAAAACAGAAACAGAATCCTAGATGCAGAGAATGGATTGATGGCAGCCAGATGGATTGAGTGACTGAGGGAACAGGTGAAAAGGTGAACGGATTAAAAAGCACAAATTGGTAGTTACAGAATAGTCATGGTGATATAAAGTACAAAATAGAACCAGAGACAAGGAAATAAAGAACAAACTGACAGTAACCAGGGGGGAGGGGGATAAAGGGGAAGAGCTGTCAAGAAACGTGTAAAGGACACATAGACAAAGCCAAAGGCAGGTAGGATCGAGGGTGGGAGGTTGGGAGAAAATTAAGACAATTATACTTGATCTACATATATGTATCAACACATATATGTGTATACATACATATTTCTATATATATTATATATGTATATATATTTGTTTAAATGCAACTGTTCTAGGTAGGGGAAAGATGTATACATATTTGTGTGTGTATATGAAATGGAGAAGCCAAAGAACTTACATGCATGACCCATGGAAATGAACAAAGGTGTGGGGATTGCCTGGGGGGGGTGCTGGGTAGAGGGGGAGAATGGGAGAAAAATTGGGACAACTGTAATAGCACAAGCAATAAAATATAATTTAAAAAAAGAATCAACCAATAGATACGTAAATATGTGGAACAACAAATCTCTCTCTCTCAAAAAAAGTGAACACTCTGCAGTGGAAATAGGTCACCCACCCAGGCAGGAGCTCTGTTCTCCTCCAACCATCCTGGGCCTGTGCTCAGCTGACCCTGTTCCTAAAGAAATCCACCCACAGATGAAGAGTATGTATGGTTGGTTAGTCATGAACACATGTTCGTCATCATGAACAAACAGGAAAATGGAAACAGACCTAATTTTTAGTGTGACAGTACAAGTGAAGTACATGATGTAGAGTAACAGGAACTTAAAATATCCTATGGGAAATATAAATTGATAAACTACTTTGCATAGAATTTGGCAGTAACAGCTAAATCTACCCTATGACTCAGGAATTGCATTTCTAGGTATATACCCAAGAGAAGCTTGTTGATGAATAACCCAAATGCTCAAAACCTTAAGAATACAGAACTATGTATATACCATGCATGTGCGTGTGCACACACACACACACACTCCTAGTAGAGGATTAGCACTGAAAATGAATGGTCTGCAGCTACTGGTGCCATCAGAGGTGAATTTTGGAAATATTTTATTACTAAGGCAAGTCCCCGAAGTCTACATAATCATGACACTAGTTTAAGGCTTGAAAACAAACAAAACATATAGGCACTCCTGTGCAAGTTATCAAAGTACATTTACATACACATTCACGGGTGTCCATGACAGCAGAAAATAGACCCCATCCCTTCATTCCTCCTTCAGCACTTGCTGCTTCCTGAACTTTTCTGAAATAAGTTGAAAACAGCTCCACTACTTCCAGGCCTCCCCTCCTTGGTCCCCTGTAGGCCCCTGAAGTGAGAGCAGCACCTTCTGGACTTTTGCTCACCCACAGCTGTGCAGACATTTACTGTCCCTACATTCCACTCCTCCCTCACCCAGCAAAGCCCCTTTCCTATTATCTCACTTTCAGTTGCATATCTGTTATGGTACCACAGGCATTTCTCAACATGTCAGGTAGTTTATATTTGTCCTTTACTAATTATAATCCTTGTTTTAACAGGAAATCACCATCTGATTGCTGAGAAGAGACTTGGCCAGCAAGGAAGGTCCAGGATGCCATGGGGCACCTGCACTCACCCTGGGTGGCTGGTGCTCCGAATGCCCATGTAGCTGGAGGAGGCCCCCTCCAAGAGGTGCACAGCCTCTGGGTACTTTTCCTGTGGAGAGAAGGAAACTTATTATTTTTTAAATCATTCTGTTTTTCAACTAGGGTTGACAACAATATCATATTAGTTTCAGGTGTACACTTCAGTGATTAGACATTATATAACTTACTAAGTGATCAACAGAAAAATCTCATACCCATTTGACACCATACAGTTATTAGAATATTATTGTTGCCCTGGCTAGTGTAGTTCAGTGGATTGAGCACGGGCCTGCCAACCAAAGGTTTGTGGTTGGATTCCCAGTCAGGGCACATGCTTGGGTTGTAGGCCAGTTCCCAGCAGGGAACACACGAGAAGCAACCATACATTGATATTTCTCTCCCTCTCTCTTTCCCTTCCCCTCTAAAGATAAATAAATAAAATCTTGAAAAAAGAATACTATTGACTATATTTCCTATGCTGTACTTTATATCCCCATGACTATTCTGTAATAGCCAGTTTGTAATTCTTAATCCCTTTACTGTTGTCACTCCCAATTCCCCTCCCACTTGGCAACTGTCAAAATGTTTTCTGTATCTATGAGTCTGTTTCTGTTCTGCTCTGCTTGTTTTGTTTTTCAGATTCAATTGTTGATACGTATTTATTGCCATTTTATGGTTCATATTTTTTAGCTTCTTAAAGAAGACCCTTTAACATTTCATATACTGGTTTGGTGGTGATAAACTCCTTTAGCTTTTTCTTCTGTGGATAGATAGCTCTTTATATGCCCTTCAATTCTAAATGATAGCTTTGTTGGGTAATCTTGGGTTAGGCAGATCCTTGCTTTTCATCATTTGAATATTTCTTGTCAGTCCTTTCTAGCCTGCAAAGTTTGTTTGGAGAAATCAGCTGACAGTCTTATGGGACCTCCCTTGTCCCATAAGGGAGGTCCCATAAGACCTCCTGCCTTTAACTAACTGCAGTAACTAACTGCTTTTTCTCTTCCTGCCTTTAAGATTCATTTATTTGTCTTTAACCTTTGGCATTTGATTATGAGGTGTCTTGATTGGCCTCTTTGTGTTCATTTTGTTTAAGACTCTCTGCCCTTCTTGGACTTGTATGTCTATTTCCCTCACCAAGGTAGGGAAGCTTTCTGTCATTATTTTTTCAAATAGGTTATCAATTTCTTCTCCTTCTGGCTCCCCCATGATGCAAATGTTGGTACACATGAAGTTGTCCCAAAGGCTCCATACACCATCCTCATTTTCTTTTTTGCGTTCTTTATTTTCTTCTAGCTGTTCTGAGTGTGTGTTTTTCGCTTCTTTATATTCCAAATCATTGATTCTTGGCTTCATCCACTCTACTATTGACTCCCTGTAAATTGTTCTTTATTCCAATTAGTTTATAATTTATTTTTGACTGGGTCTTTTTTATGTTGTTGAGGTCCTCATTGATTTCCTTGAGTATCCTTATAACCAGTGTTTTGAACTCTGCATCTAGTAAATTGCTTGTCTCCATTTTGTTTAGTTATTTTTCTGAAGTTCTGTTCTTTCATTTGGGCCATATTTCTTTTTCTCCTCATTATGACAGCCTTTCTGTGTTTGTTTCTATGTATTTGGTAGAACTGCTATGTCTCTCTGGTGTGGTAGCATGGCCTAATGTAGTAGGTGTCCTATGGGCTCCAGTGGCACAGCTCCCCCTATTGCCCAAGCTGGGTACTCAAGGTGTATACTGCATGTGGGCTGAGTACAGTCTCCTCTTGTAGTTGAGGCTTGACTGCGGTTGGCACATCCAGGGTTAGCCACCGCCTGTGTCCAGGGCCACCTAGCATAAGCTACAAAGCAACTTGCAGCTGGCTTCTTGTGCTAGGCTTGGAGGTGCCCAGATGAGGCTAAGGCTGGCTGCTATTGGTGCCAGACCTTGGGCCACTTGACTAGATGTACAAGGCTTGCTGAGGACAGATGATGCTTGTTTCACAGATTTTAGGGAAGTGTAAAGCATGAACCAAGTCATTCTTTGGTATGGAAAAGCCACAGAGACAGCTTGGGTAGGCCTGAAAGTTGGGTCAGTCCTCAGTAAGTCATCAGGACAGGCTAAACAGTGTGACTCAGGTTCATGGAGACTGTGATGTTGTGCCCACTGGTCAGCTTTGTAGGTGGAGGACTCATCAGAGAGTGGCCTCTTTGATGGCCTCTGCCAGCACTTCCGTCTGGGAGAAAGCTGCCCCCAGTTCTGAGATCTCACCCTGATGCCAGACAATTCATTCCCTCCCTTGTGCCTCTGGTGTCTTTCAAGCTACTGCTCCAGTGTTGGAGCTCAGAGGGGGTGAGTCCCAGTAAGTGTGTGCATGGGTCCTTTAAGAGGAACACCTGGAACTCCAGAAGCCTCTGTCTCCTTCAGCCTCAATCTCTACTGGTTTTTACAGCCAGAAGTTATGGGAACTTGTCTCTGTGGCACTGGAACCTTGCTCCCTAGGTGAAACCTTTGAAGCCAAGACATCCCTCTCAAGTTTTATCTACCACATCTGGGTGTGAGTCCAGCCTGTTCAACATCTCCACCCCTCCTACCGGTCTCAATGTAGCTTCTTTAATTCCCTAGTTGTAGGACTTTCATTCAGCCAGATTTTAGGCAGTTCTGAATATTTGTTCTGTACCTCAGTTGCAATTTTGATATGATTGTGGGAGGATGCAAGAAAACTACATTCACCTATGTCACCATCTTGAGCAGAAGCACCCCCCCCCTTTTTTTTCCACATAGCAATTTGTAAGGCATAGGCACACTGATCCAGATGACTGGAAAGAAGTGAGAAAACCTTTTGAGGTGTCTCTCACATTCCCTGAAAGTCTAAGTTCCTGATGTGCCAGTCACTTGTCAGCATACAGCATCACGGTGCCCTGGCCACGGCCACCCACACTCTACCTTCGGTGCTCAGTGGCACTGCTGTTCTAGATCTTTCCACTGCCACAAGGTCCCAAGGCTGCCACACTATCAACTCCCCAATGTTAACATGTTACAGAACAAAGTTCATTCTGATTTTACCAGTTTGTCCACACAAGGTCCTGAAGCATCTGGCTGTCCTTTCTCCTTAAGTCCCCTCAGGTCTGAGGCAGCCTCTCTGTCTGTCCTTGAGGAGGCCAGTCAGGCATGCTGTGTAGTCTCCCTTAGGACAGAGAGTCTAGCTGACTCGGGTGATTCTGACCCTGATAACTGAGGTGAGGTGTTACGTGCCAGCTTCCTCACTGTAAGCCAACTATTAGCATTCAATTTTAGAAGGCTTTCAAACTAACACCTGTGGGCTAGCCTCTGCCACAGTGGGTGGCTCCTGCACTGTATGTCCTCACACTTGCCACCAAATCACCCTGGCCTGCCTGTTGATAACCATGGGCAAATGGCTCTCCTGCATAATGCAGGGGCTACTCGGAGCCTATTATCAATGTGGTCATCTTCCCTTCTGCACAGTTCTGGCTATCCTGGGAAATGGGATTTTGGAAAGCAGGCTCTGCAAAAAGTCGGCCTCATGATGAGCCTGTGTCATTTAAGAGTCAAAAGTATACTCTCTAAAACAGGGACATGAAATAGAATTTCATAAAGTTCTAGGCTTGCAAACTCTAAGGTAGAGTTAGTTGCCTTTCCTCCCATGTAATGCAATAATTCTGGAAAAATCTCTATTTCCTACTATTCACAGTAGATCCAGGGTAGGGCAAATGTAGGTTTACAGTTGTATGAGAAACACAGAGTTTATTCTTATACTATTACTTATTAATTATTATATGGTTTTCTATACAAACAACGTTAATCCACTTTGTCCCACCCTGTATATCAGAACTGACTCCACGACTTTTTATTTTACTATTAAAAACAAAGATTTTATTTATTTACTTTTAGAGAGAGGGGGAAGAGGGGGAAAGAGGGCAACAAACCCTGAAGTATGATAGAAACATAGATTGGTTGCCTCTCACCAGCCCCCCAACTGGGAACCTGGCCCATGACACAGTGCCCTGACTGGGAATCAAACTGTTGACATTTTGGTTTGAGGGAGGATGCCCAACCCACTGGGCCACACCAGTAAGGGCCTGACAGGTTAACTTAGATTTGACTTGTAGGCATTAACATGACAAAGTTTTGCAGGGATCTGAACAGAATGTTCCCCGTGGACAGACAGAGTTACATGTCTTTTTGTCTGCTCTTGTGAGAATGGATTGTGGGTTGGGGGTGATATAAGAGAGACTATTAAAGTAGGCCCCACAGTGAGACTTTGAGTTCCTAGGATCAGTTTTTGAAAGACACATTTCTCTGTTCTCACAACTCTTGATGCAGAGAGACACCTGAGCTGATGCTAAAGTTGGATGCAAGCCCCACTATGTTCCAAACCCAAACCCAGCCACTGGGGCCACTCCACCCATCAAGGAAGGACAGTGATGTGAAGCTTCATCTGAGAAATGCTCAGTCTAGAAGCCAGCCTCGAGGTGAGGGGCAGGGCTAAACTGTGGGTGTGCAGAACCTGTGGGCTTCAGAGGATGGGCTTTCCGGAGGCTACAGGTATTTGGTGGGCTGAATCAATTCTGTCAACTGAGGTCTGGTGGGGACAAAGATGGGTCAGAGCTTTTCAAGGACTAGCCCATATATCAGTGAGCTTGTTCCCAGTGTGTGAGATCAGTACTCCCAGATTCCTGTATATGAAAGATGCTGATGGGCCAAGAACATGTCCAAACACCAAGCTGTTCTGACCAAATGCTGGGTGGGCCTGGTTTAAGCTTACAGACCATTTCTAATTACAGCAAAACAGTTTTTATTGGGAAATTCATACCTCAGTGTTTAAAATGGAAAGTGCTGTTTGGTTTTTAAACCTCAAGCTCTTCTAAATGAGTGACAACTGTATAAAGAATGCAGAGGAGAACGTGTGGACGTGGCGTTACCTCTAGGCTTAGCCACTGCAGCATGTGGCCTGAGCTGGCTCCAGCATGGGGCCTAGGGCAGCACAGACTGGCTGCAGGCCCAGCCTCCAAAGCAGACCTCACAGCCTCTCTAGACCTTACCTCCAACACCCCTGCCCAATGAGCAAAAGGAGGGTT